CAACAGTAACCTGATCGCGATTTTTTCGTTTTATTCGAATTTTGGGACTTCTTCTCCATCTTGGACTCCAATAAGAGGGTTTATATATATTTTCATATTGTATCTCCATATTATAANTTATATATATTTTCATATTGTATCTCTATATTATAACATTCATATATTCTTCTTTACATCTTCAACAACATATTGAGAGATTGAGAGTTTATATTTCAATTGAGACTATTGAAATCTTGATATTGAAAATGCAAAACTATTGATTATAGTGGATTGTTCTTATCTGCCCGTGATTTTTTCCCGAATTGGGTTTCCAAGTAAATTTCTTGTGTTCTTGTTTTCTTTTTCTTTATTCATTATCGTCATTATCTTGCAATCAGTTTCATAACAAGTGCTATCAGAGCGCGAGATTGATTCGCATGGCGACAATGAAGTATGGCATTCCATTGTTGGATAGAAACACAAGATTTATATTATGGAAAGTGAAGATGCGAGCGGTGTTAGCGCGGATGGATTTGGAAGAAGCCTTGCTTGGCTTTAATAAGATGCCTGCTGCCTGGATGGAGGATAAAAAGCGGCGTAGGGATCGGAAAGCCCAATCACAAATTCATCTACATCTCTCGAATCAAATTCTTCATGATGTTCTTAAAGAGAATAGTGCCGCTGCGTTGTGGTTGAAGTTGGATCAACTTTGCATGATAAAGAACTTGACCAGCAAGCTACACTTGAAACAGTGCTTGTATACTCGCCGGATGTCTGAAGGTGCGTCATTGGGTGATCACTTAACTATGTTCAAAGAAATTGTGGCTGATCTGGAGACATTGGAGGTTAAGTATGGCGAGGAGGACTTGGCTTTGATGTTGTTGTGTTTACTGCTACCATCATATATGACTTTTAGGGATACTATTCTCTATAGTCGGGATACTCTCATCATGGAAAAGGTCTATGATACTTTATTATCTAAGGAGAAGATGAGGCATCTTGCTGGAGGATCTGGAAATCATGCTGAAGGCTTGGTTGTGCATGTGAGGAATCAAGATAGGAATCTTGGCAGAAATATGAGGCGCGGATCGAAGTCTAAGCATGCTGAGAAGACATGTCACTACTGTAAGAAGAATGGACATATTAGAACTGATTGCTACGCCTTGGAAAATAGAAATAAAGATGCTAGTGCTATAGAGAAAGGGAAGCAACATGTTAATACAGCAGAGGCTGATGTTGTGGAAGATGAGCAAAGGGTGGAGAGCTTCTTGTGATTTCTGATGGGAATTCTAAAACTTGTAATGAATGGGTTCTTGACTTGGCTTGTACTTTTCATATGTGTCCTATTAGGGACTGGATTTCTACATATGAAAGAGTTTCAAGAGGTGCTGTGATTATGAAAAACAACGCATCTTGCAAAATTGTTGGAGTTGGTACAGTCAGAATTAGAATGTTCGATGGGACTGTCAGAGCGCTTACAGATGTAAGACATATTCCAGAACTGAAGCGGAATCTCATATCTTTAAGTGCAGTTGACTCAAAGGGCTACAAATACATCGGTGAAGGCAGAGTTTTGAAGGTTAGCAATGGTGCTTTTGTTGTCATGAAGGGGCATAAAAACTCTATATGGTTGTACATTTTACACGGTTCCACAGTGATTAGGGATGCAGCGGTTTCTACTTCTTCTTTGACAGATGATGAAGTTACAAAACTTTGGCATATGAGGCTCGGCGTATGAGTGAGAATGGGATGACAGAGTTGAGTAAAATTGGACTTCTTGATGGGCAGAAGACCAGTAAAATAGAGTTTTGTGAGCATTGTGTATTTGCGAAACAGAAGAGAGTTAGATTTACTAAATGAAGATACAACACGAAGGGAACACTTGAATATATCCATTCAGATCTTTGGGAACCAGCCAGGATACCATCTAAAGGTGGCTATTATTACTTGTTGACAATAATTGATGACTTCTCCAGGAAATTTTGGGTATTTGTCTTAAAGTAGAAGAGTGATGTGTTTAGGACCTTCAAGGAGTGGAAAATATTGTAGAGAAGCAGACCGAAAAGCAAGTGAAATGTCTACGCACTGATAATGGGTTGGAGTTTTGTTCAGATGAATTCAATAGCTTCTGCAGGGCTGAATGCATTTTGAGACCATAACAGTGCCTGGAACTCCTCAACAGAATGGTGTGGCAGAACGGATGAACAGAACCTTAATGGAAAAGGTTCGTTGTATGCTTTCAAATTCTGGGTTACCTAAGTCTTTTTGGGCTGAAGCTGCTACTACAGCTTATTTTCTGATTAATCGCTCACCCTCAGTTGCCATTGTTAAAAAGACAGCAGAAGATGTATGGTCTGGTAAACCTTCTTTTTATTCTGATTTAAATTTTTTGGATAATGGGAAGTTGGAGCCTAGGTCTAGAAAGTGCATTTTTCTTGGATATAAATAAGGTGTGAAGGGGTATAAGTTGTGGTGTCCCGAGACTAAAAATGTGGTTGCTAGTAGGAATGTAGTATTTGATGAACTTGCTATAGTTCGTGATTTACCTTTTGGGAATTCTGATAAAGTTGAGGAGCAAAATCGTTCAACTCAGGTGGAGTTGGAAATTGGTTCAGAGAAACAATCAGAGGTTGAAAAACAGTCTACTACAGATGAGTCCAGTTTGGAATTGAGAGATGATAATATCCTACCTACTTTTCCTATATCACAAGCACCACGATATTCTATAGCTAAGGATAGAACTCGAAGACAGATTAGAGCTCCACAGAAGTATGGAGAAGCAGATTTGATAGCTTATGCATTGAGTGCGGTTGAAGACATTGACTCCACTAAGGAGCCTACTACATATTCTGAGGCAGTCAATTGTAGTGATTCTAACAAATGGATGATTGCTATACAGGAGGAGATGGAGTCATTAAACAAAAATAACGCTTGGGACTTGGTGAAATTACCTAAAGGTAAAAGAGTAGTTCATTGTAAATGGGTGTTCAAAAGAAATGAAGGCATATCAAGGATTGAAGATGCTAGATACAAGGCTAGATTGGTGGCAAAAGGCTAGAGTCAGATTCCAGGTGTTGATTTTACAGATGTGTTCTCACCAGTTGTAAAGCATAGCTCTATTCGGGCTTTACTTGGAGTGGGGTTCATAGCTTCAGAGAAGGAGGACTACTCATGGCAGTGGTATAAGAAGTTTGATTCATTCATGACTACTCATGGTTTTGATAGATGTAATTATGATAGTTGTGTGTACTTCAGAAAGGAAAGTAGTGGATCAACTACATATTTGTTGTTATATGTTGATGATATGCTCAAAGCAGCCAATGATAAAGTAGAGGTTAGAAAAATAAAATTACAACTCAGCAAGGAGTTTGACATGAAAGATTTGGGTGCAGTAAAGAAGATTCTTGGAATGGAGATCTTGAGGGATAGAAAGGCTGGTAGATTGTATTTAAATTAGAAGGGGTATATTGAAAAGGTGATTGAAAGATTCAATATTGTGAAAGTTAAGGTCGTCGTACTCCCTTGGCTACCAACTTCAAATTATCATTTAACTTGTGTCCACAGTCAGATGAAGACATTGATTATATGTCTCGAGTTCCTTACTCTAATGTAGTTGGTTCGCTCATGTATACTATGGTTTGTACAAGACCTGATTTGGCACATGCAGTTAGTGCAGTTAGCAGATACATGACTGATCCTAGCAATGAACATTGGAAAGTAGTGGATCTTCAAATACTTGAGGGGCTCTTCAAATGCTTGTTTGCATTTTGGAAGAAATTCAAATGGAGTCATAGGTTATGCGGATTTAGATTATGTAGGGGATCTTGATAAGAGGAGATCGTTTATAGGGTATGTGTTTACTTTTGGTGGCTGTGCTATCAGCTAGATAGCTACTTTGTCAAATATAGTGGCTTTGTCTACAACAGAAGCAGAATATATGGCCATTACAGAAGCATGTAAGGAGGCTATGTGGCTAAGAGGATTGATTGGTGAAATTAGTAAAGACTTGCGAATTTCTACAATTTTTTGTGATAGTCAGAGTGTAATTTTATTGACTAATGATCAAATGTTTCACGAGAGGACTAAGCACATTGATGTGAGGTACCATTTTGTGCGTGATGTGATTGCTCGTAGTGATATTTTAGTGAGCAAAGTTGATACCAAGGATAATCCTGCTGATATGATGACAAAACCACTTCCTATTGCTAAGTTTGAACATTGTTTGAACTTAAAGGGTGTTTGTCATTGATTTATTCCATTGGAGCTTGTTTGGAAGAGGAGAAATGTTGTTTACTTGAAGATGTGTTTTAATTTCCTTGTGATAAAATTTGGCTCAAGGTGAAAATTTGTTGTGGTGTGATCCAAATTCCATGTGATTTGGTATTTGATTAATTGAAGAAAGTCTAAGGTACTTGGGTTTGAAGAGTCTTAAGAGTTGAATATCAAATTTCCATAATATTAGAAGTTTGGCTTGAAAATGGACTCTTGGATGGTAAAAAGCATGTTTTGGAATGTTTACGCGAAACCTAGCACCCAAGCACTGTAAGAGTAGCTCCTAGGCGCTGCAATAGTAACCTGATTGCGATTTTTTCGTTTTATCCGAATTATGGGACTTCTTCTCCATTTTGGACTCCAATAAGTGGGTTTATATATATTCTCAGATTGTATCTCCATATTATAACATTCNTATCTTCATAATATAACATCAAATATTATTTTTTATATCTTCAACAACATATTGAGAGATTGAGAATTTAGATTTCAATTGAAATTATTGAAATCTTGATATTGTAAATACAAAACTATTGATTATAGTGGATTGTTCTCATCTGCCCGTAGTTTTTTCCCTTAATTGGGTTTCTATGTAAATTTCTTATGTTATTGTTTTCTTCTTCTTTATTTCAGATCGTCATTATCTTGCAATCCGTTTCGTGACAGTACATATGCAAATCCGTCTTGGTCCGTAGCTATTCATGAAAATAGAAGAGGTTGGGATGATGAGCAAAGGATAAGTTTGGATCATGACTAATGGGATGACCGACCTTCTAAGCCTAATGGATCCTTTGGTTATCGATTCAATGAAAGGAGTATTAGATGTAAAACCTCATGTCCCGAAAAGGAAGAGACATGAATTCACAGTTCGGTGGAATATCAAACACGAGCATAAGGTGGAATTGAACATGTTTGGTCTGCGGGCGTATGATGCTGCCACAGCCTAGCAAGGGCAACTGAAAATTCAGTTCATCAAAATTTTGATAATCTTAGCCGAGTTCTAACTACTACTACCAGTTTCAGAGGCCTAAGTGGAGAATTCCACATTTTCAATGGACAACTACAATCTTCAACATTCCGGATAGTAAATGTACTTGGTGAAGGGGAGATAGGGATTGGATTTTGGACTCGAGAAAATGGATTTTTAAGAAGGTTAAATGTCAGAAACTTGTCCAAATATAATATTTCCAAGGACAAACTTAAACCAATTATATGGCCGCGTGAAATTATGTCCATGCCAAAAGGTTGGGTGACACCAACGAATGGCAAAACGTTGAGAATAGGAGTTCCATCAACAACTTTTTTTCCTGAACTTGTGGAAGCAAATAGAGATAGCAACAAAAAACTTTCGACAGTGAATGGCTACTGCATAGATGTTTTTAATGTCGTGATGGAAATACTTCCTTACGAATTCATTTCATTTCAGAAGCCCAATGGCGAGAGTGCTGGTAGCTACAATGACCTGACATATCAAGTTTACCTAGAGGTCAAATTCATTGTTACTTTGCACTTGTAATCAATTTCTAGTAGGGATCATTGCCTAATTTATCATTAGTTCCGATAGTCAAAGTATGTTAAGTGGTTAGATATTAGTTTCCAACACGCCTTTGATGTGTAGGGAGATTCATGCTTTTAGCAGAGGTCTCCTATGTGAACAATTTTCATAAATATGTAGAAACAAGAGCTTGATTTTAGGACCTCTACCCACTCTACCATGATGAGCCACCTCATCTAAAACCTCAAGCAAGCAATTAGAGAGATGATACATTCTTTTATTTAAATTTAGTTTTTAACGTAAAATTGCATGATTTAATTAACAATGCTTGTTTATAAAAACATATAATTGTGATGCTGTGGTGGGAGATGTCACAATATTAGCAAACAGATTATCATATGTGGACTTTACGCTTCCATACCAGAGTCTGGTGTAAGATTACTGGTGCCTTTGAAAGAGAAGAAGAAAAATGCATGGATTTTCTTGAGACCATTGACATGGCAACTTTGGTTGACAAGCGGTTGTTATTTTCTTTGGATTGGTCTCATGATTCTCATTCTTGAGAGCCACAATATGTCTGGACCTCAACAAATCTACCAGAGTTTCTGGAGAACCTTCACACACATTGTTCATAGTAATAGTGAGTGTTATTTAACCTCTTTAGCTTGCATACTTGATTGTTGCTATGGAAATTGTTTATAAAGATGTTGGATTTTCTACCTTTATAAAATTGTGCAACGTTATCCTTTGTCTTAATTACTTGATGAAATTATGTTGCAGATGAAGAAGTGGTAAATAATGTTACAAATTTCGTGGTGATCATATGGTGTTTCGTGGTCTTATTTTAACTCAAAGTTACACATCTAGCTTGTCTTCAATGTTAATAGTTGAACAACTTAAACCAAGTATTACCCACATACAAGAGCTTGTCAAGAGTGGACAGGATGTGGCTTATCAGAAGAACGCATTTGTGTTGGGGATTCTGGAACAGTTAAACGTTCCAAAGTCACAGATGAAGACATTTAGGACTCATGCTGATTTGCATGTTGCTCTTCAAAATGGGAGTTTAGCAAGATAGTTTGATGAAATTCCCTAGCTGAATCTTTTCCTAGCAAAGCCTTGCTCAAAATATACCATGGTTGAACCAACATATAAAGCTGACTGGTTTGGTTTTGTGAGCTCTCTCTCTCTTTCTCCGCTCCCTATTTTGGGTGTGACCACCTCGTATAATATCCTAAGTTTTTAGATGCGATGTTGGTGATCAATTTGTGGGTTTTTTTTTTGTTATGAAACAGATAGCAAGATAATGACAATAATGAAATAAAGAAGAATAAAACAAGAACACAAGAATTTACGTGGAAACCCAATTCGGGAAAAAACCACGGCAGAGGAGAACAATCCACTATAATCAATAGTTTTGTGTTTACAATATCAAGATTTCAATAATCTCAATTGAAATCTAAACTCTCAATCTCTCATTATGTTGTTGAAGATATAAGGAATAATATATGAATGTTATAATATGGAGATACAATGTGAAAATATTTATAAACCCTCTTATTAGAGTTCAAGATGGAGAAGAAGTCCCAAAATCTGGATAAAACGGAAAAATCGCGATCAAGTTACTATTAAAGTACCTAGGCGTTACTGTTACAGCGCTTGGGAACTAGGTGTAGCGCCTAGGTGTTATGTTTCGGGTAAACATTTCAAAACATGTTTTTTGCCATCCAAGAGTCCATTTTCAAGCTAAACTCCTAATTATTATAGAAATTTGATCTTCACAACTTAGGATTTTTCAAACCCAAGTACGTCAGACTTCCTTTAATTAACTAAATCCCAAATCACATGGAATCCAATCAACTAAATACCAAACCACATGGAATTTGGATCACACCACAACAAATCTCCACCTTGAGCCAAATTCTATCACAATAAATTAAAACATATCTTCAAGTAAACGCCATTTCTCCTCTTCCAAACAAGCCCTAATGGACTAAATCAATGACAAACACCCACTAAGTTCAAACAATGCTCAAACTTAACAATATGAAGTGATTTTGTCATCATATCAGCAGGATTATCCTTGGTATCAACCTTACTCACTAAAATATCACCACGAGCAATCACATCACCCACAAAATGGTACCTCACATCAATGTGCTTAGTCCTCTCGTGAAACATTTGATCCTTAGTCAAGAAAATTGCTCTCTGACTATCACAGAAAACTGTAGAAATCTACAAGTCTTCACTGATTTCACCAATCAATCTTTTCAGTTACATGGCCTTCTTACATGCTTCTGTAATGGCCATATATTCTGCTTATGTTGTAGACAAAGCCACTGTATTTTGCAAAGTAGCTTTCTAGCTGATATCATAGCCACCAAGAGTAAACACATACCATGTAAGTGATCTCCTCGTATTAAGATCCCCTACATAATCTGAATCCACATAACCTATGACTCCATCTGAAGTGGGCAGCTAAGGGAGTAATGGCAACCTTAAATTTTACCATTTTGAATCTTTCAAGCACCTTTTCAATATACTCATTCTGACTGAAATACAATCTACCAGCTTTTCTATCCCTCAAGATCTCCATTCCAAGAATCTTATTCGTTGTACCCAAATCCTTCATGTCAAACTCCTTGCTAAGTTGTAATTTTATTTTTCTGACCTCTGTTTTATCCTTGGCTGCTATGAGCATATCATCAATATATAATAACAAATATGTAGTTGATCCACTACTTTTCTTTCTGAAGTACACACAACTGTCATAATTACATCTATCAAAACCATGAGTAGTCATGAATGAATCAAACTTCTTATACCACTACCTCGGTGACTGCTTCAATCCATACAAGGATTTCTTCAACAAGCATACATAGTCTTCCTTCTCTAAAGCTATGAACCCCTCTAGTTGTTGCATGTAAATGCCCTTCTCAAGTTCTCCATGTAAGAATGCTCTCTTGACATCCATTTGTTCAATTTCCAAATCATTCTTAGCCACCACTCCAAGTAAAGGCCGAATAGAGCTATGCTTTACAATTGGTGAGAACACATCTGTAAAATCAACACCTAGAATCTGACTGTAGCCTTTTGTCACCAATCTATCCTTATATCTAGCATCTTCAATCCCTGATATACATTCCTTTCTTTTGCACCCACATTTACAACGACCCACTCTTTTAACTTTAGGTAATTTCACCAAGTCCCAAGTGTTCTTTTTGCTTAATAGTCCCAAGTGTTATTTTTGCTTAATGACTCCATCTCCTCCTGCATAGAAATCATCCATTTGCTAAAATTACTACAATTGACTACCTCTGAATATGTAGCAGGCTCCTCAGTGGAGTCAATGTCTTCAGTCACACTCAATGCATAAGCTACCAAATCTGCTTTCCCATATTTCTGTGGAGCTCTAATCTGTTTTCGAGGTCTATCCTTAGCTATAGAATATCGCACTGCTTGTGATATAGGCAAAGTAAGCAAGATATTACTGGACTCATCTGTAATAGACTGTTCTATAACATCTGATTATTTCTCTGAACCAATTTCCAACTCCATCTAAGTTGAATGATTTTGCTCCTCAGCTTTATCAGAATTCCCAAAAGGTGAACCACGAACCATAGCAAGTTCATCAAATATTACATTCCTACTAACAACCACCTTTTTAATCTTGGAACACCACAAGTTATACCCTTACACGCCAGATTTATATCCAAAAAAATGCACTTTCTAGACTTAGGCTCCAAATTTCCATTATCTACATGAGCATAAGTTAGATACCAAAAAAATTTTAAATCAGAATAGCAAGACGGTTTACCAGACCATACCTCTTCTGGTGTATTTTTATCAATGACAATTGAGGCTAAGCGATTAATCAGAAAACAAGCTGTAGTAGCAGCTTCAGCCCAAAAAGACTTAGGCAACCCAGAATTTGAAAGCATACAACGAACATTTTCCATCAAAGTTTTGTTCATCCGTTCTGTCACACCATTCTGTTGAGGAGTTCTAAGCACTGACAAGCATCTCAAGATGCCTTCAGCCTTGCAAAAGCTATTGAATTCATCTGAACAAAACTCCAACCCATTAGTGCGTAGACATTTCACTTGCTTTCCGGCTTGCTTCTCTACCAATGTTTTCCACTCCTTGAAGGTCTCAAACACATCATTCTTCTGCTTCAAGAAGAATACCCAAACTTTCCTGGAGAAGTTATCAATTACTGTCAAAAAGTAATAATAACCACCTTTAGATGGTGCCCTGACTAGTCTCTAAAGATCTAAATGGATATATTCAAGTGTTTACCTTCGTGTTGTGTCCTCCTTTAGTAAATCTGACTCTCTTCTGTTTCCCAAATACATAATACACATAAAACTCTATTTTGCTGGTCTTCTACCCATCAAGAAGTCTCCATTTTACTCAACTCTGTCATCCCATTCTCACTCATATGCCCGAGCCTCATATGCCAAAGTTTTGTACTTCATCATCTATCAAAGAAGAAGTAGAAATTGCTGCATCCCCAATCACTGTGGAACCGTGCAAAATGTACAACTATATGGAGTTTTTATGCCATTTCATGACAACAAGAGCACCCTTACTCACCTTCAAAACTCTCCCTTCACCGATGTATCTGTAGCCCATTGAGTCAAGTGCACTCAAAGATATGATATTCCGCTTCAGTTCTGGAATATGTCTCACATCTGTAAGTGTTCTGACAGCCCCAAATAACATTCTGATTTTGACTGTACCAACTCCAGCGATTTTGCAATGCGTGTTGTTTTCCATAATCATAGCACCTCTTGAAACTCCTTCATATGTAGAAAACCAATCCTTGGTAGGACACATATGAAAAGTATAAGTCGAGTCAAGAACCCATTAATTACAAGTTTTAGAATCCCCGTTAGAAATCACAAAAAGCTCTCCACCACTTTGCTCATTTTCCAGAACATCAGCATCCGATGTATTAACATGTTTCGTCCCTTTCTTTATAGCACAAGCAGCTTTATTTATATTTTTCAAGGTGTAACAATCAGCTCTAATATGCCCCTTCTTCTTACAGTAGTGACGTGTCTTCTCAGCATGCCTAGACTTCAATCTGCCCCTCATATTTCTGCCAAGATTCCTATCTTGATTTCTCACACGCATAACCAAGCATTCAGTATGATTTTCAGATCCTCCGCAAGATGCCTCATCTTCTCCTTAGATAGTAAAGTATCATAGACCACTTCCACGTGAGAGTATCCCGGCTATAGAGAATAGTATCCCTAAAAGTCACATATGATGGTGGCAGTGAACCCAACAACATCAAAGCCAAGCCCTCCTAGTGTGTGCTGTCATAGGCACTCAAAAGTAATATCTTAACCTCTAAAACTAATGCAGTAGTGGAAGTAAGGGTCGATCCCATGAAAAGTGGGTAATTTAAGGTTTTATGCTTCGTACAATGATTGTGGGGTTTTTGTATGCAAATAATTGTAAATACCGTAATTAATAATAATGAAAATTAAATTAATGAAAACAATCAAAAGACTAACCTTGGTCTAAATCCACATCCATAGTGGGAAATTCACGATTGATCATAGATGCAACGATAATTCATTTCATATTTTGAATATTCATCGTTAGAATTGATTCATATTTCTCCTTAATTTTAGTTAGATAGAAACCAACGTTCTAATTAACCCTAATTATTAAATAACCCCATACCAGAGTTCAAGATTCAATTTAATAAAAATTTTACACAATAGAGAAATCGATGAACTAGATAGCGCAAACATCAGCAGTTGCATTCAATCTATTTAAACATTTTTCTTAAAATTCAATAACCTCTATCATAGAAAATCATCAAATTCTAGTACTTTACAAGTTAAAGGGATCAAACAATTACGAATTTGATATTTAATTTAGCAGTAGATTGTTACAATCAATGAATTAGCAGACTCTCTAGCAATTAAACG